ATACTCCCTATAGAAAACATACCCAATTTATTTTTGTCTTCCTCCCTCCTCCTTTCATAGGTGGTTGAAGATCTTAATAACATATGGTAACAGCAGAGTATAATGGCTAAGAGGACAGACTCTGAAGACCGGCGGCTTGAGTCTGGGTCTTAACAATGTTATTTTTCAGCTCTGTGACCATAGGCAAGTTACTGGACCTTTCTAAACTTCAACATCTATATGTATAAAATGGATATAGTAATAGCAGATATTTCCTAAGATTGTCAGAGGACTTGGATTAGAACAGTGCAAGCATCATAAAGGTGTCCATTAGGTACAGTGGAAAAACAATGAATACACTGTGAGTGCTGAGTAAAGATCTATTTATGAAAAGCAAAATGTCAAAGCAAAGCTAGGCTCTAGGTACAAAACAGGTATATACAAATTCTTCCTAAATCTTATCTATGCCCTAAAGGTTAGCTGTGCCCTTTAAATCTTCCTTAACAGTGGTTCTGTTTTAGTTTGATATGTGACATTCTAAGAAAATATTTAGTTCAGCTTCTTGTAGCAATAGACACTTAAATTGGTATCCTTGCCTCCGGTCTTATTCCCTTTAATCTATCCTCCATAAGATTCACAGAGTAATCTTCCTAAAACACAGATCTAATGTTTTTCCGCTGCAACAAACTCTCTCCATCTCATTCCCTTAAGATTAAACTGCTTAGCACCTCATACAAAATTGTCCTAACATGGCCCCAGCCCAGTTTCCAACTTCATCTTTCAACACCTCTTACCACAAAACCTAATTACCTGGCCACACCTAAAAGGCTATTTGTATGTCATTTAGTTTGTCTAAACATTCCTGTAATTAATGTGCTAGGGCTGCCATAACAAAATACCACAGACTGGGTAGTTTATACAACAGAAATTTATTGTCTCCCAGTTCTGGAGGCTAGAAGTCCAAGGTTGAAGTGTTGAGAGATTTGATTTCTCCTGAGGCTTGCAGATGGCCACCTTTTCCATGCGTCCTCAACATGGTTTTTCTCTGTACACATATCGCTGGGGCCTCTTTTTGTGTCCAAAGTTCCTCTCATAAGGACACCACACCAGTCAAAGTAGACTAGGACCCACTCTAAAGGCTTCAGTTTAATTTAATCACTTCTTTAAAGGCCCAACTCTAAATACAGTCAAATTCTGAGGTCATCTGGATTAGGGCTTCAACATTTAACAAAAGTTTGGAGCGATGGAATTCAGCCCATAACAACCCCTTCTCCTGTTCTTTGTCCAGGCTAATTCCTATTTGTTTTTCCAAACTGGCCCAAGCCTTCCCACCCCTGGAAGATTTCAGTGCCCTTTCTCTGTGTTCCCACAGTTCTTCTGTATGCTGCTATCCTATTACCACACTATCATAATTGTCTCTTTCCCTGTTCAGACTCTATTTCTTAAGAGCAGAGATTAAATCTCTAGCACTTAGTACTTAGCCTGGTTTCTTGAAGGTATTTAATAAAGATTTGATTATTGAGAGAAAGTATAAAAATCCCATGTACCTGAAGAAGGCAAATGTGGGTTTAAATCCTGGCTCTACCATTTAATTATCTTGTGACTTTGGGTAAGGCACTAAATGCTGAACTTCTACAGAAGGTAGTTGTTAAGATAAATGACCTGATTATAATAAAAAAAATCTAGTTGTGGAGTTGGTACACAGTAGGTTCTCAGTAAATACTGAGAGTAAAGATTGTGATATGCCTGAATTTGACACCCAGTTCTACCACTTAGTAGCTAAATGGCCTTGGGTATGTTAATGTATCCTCTGCTTCAGTTGCAATAGTTCATCTTTTTTTTTTTTTTTAGGCTGAGTAGTATTCGTGTGTGTGTGTGTGTGTATGTATGTGTGTATGTATCATATCTTCTTTATACAATCATCTATTGAGGGACACTTGGGTTATTTCGATGTCTAGGCTATTGTAAATAATGTTGCAATGAACACAGGGGTACATATATCTTTACAAATAAGTGTTTTCAAATTTGGGGGGTAAATACCCACAATAGGGATCGGTGGGTCACATGGTAGCTCTATTCCTTGAGGAACCTTTGTACTGTTTTCCTCAGTGGCTGTACCAATTTACATTCCTACCAGCAGGTATGAGGGCTCCCTTTTCACCACATCCTCTCCAACACTTACTTGTCTAAATGATAAGAGCCATTCTAATGGGTGTGAGGTAGTTATCTCATTGTGGTTTTGATTTGCATTTTCCCTTACAGCTAGTGTAAGTCAGATGGTAAAGAACACGAACCAAGAACCACATGATTTTAGTCATATGTGGGATATATAACAAAAACAAATGAGTAAACAAAACAAATTCCTAGACACAGACAACAGAGTGGTGATTGCCAGAGGGAAAAGAAGTGGAGGGAGGACAAAGAAGGTATGTGGGGGTTAAATACAAGATGATGGAAGGAGACTAGACTTTGGGTGGTAAACATACAACAGAGTACACAGGTGTTGTATTATAAAGTTGTACACTTAAAATTTATAGAATGTTACTAGCTAATACATATAATTAAAAAGAAGCACCCCATGTATTTCTGTAAGTTAATATAGGTAAAACATTTAGATGGTTACCTAACACATAGTATGCATTATCCTTATATAAATGTTTCCTATTATTTCATGAGCACGGCAGGTCTGAACAAATATGACTGGAAACCATGAATAACTTAGTTCTTTCAATACTAAGTCATTTAAAATATATTACTTTAATTCCTCTGATTTCTTACCAACTAAACTAGGTGGTAACTAAAAAGGTACAAAATTGGTGCAGATAACAGAGCTCAAAATAAATAAGAAATAATGTCTCTTTACTTATATTGGTTTTTAATATATACATATGGATATTGAAGTAAAATTTTGAAGAAACAAGTTGTTCTACTCTTAACACCTATAGATAGTAACCGTTTTCAGTGGATAATAACACTCCTTGGCTCATGTTTTCAACCACAGATTCACTAAAATTTTGAACCACAAAGGACCCTTGAGATGAAAAATCTCAAGCCTATGTTTTACATAAGTAAAGTGGGGTTGGTCTGGAAAGCACTTATAGGGTCTTAATGAGCAACCCTCTGGGGGACAGAAATCTCAAGTAGAGAGAACAACTTGTTCAAAAGCACTAAAGCAGGGGATTGGACTTATTGTAGATGCCCAAAGTGTAGAAAATGTTATTGGGAAATAATACTGAATAATGCCTTTCAGAAAATTTCTGAAGTAGATACAAGTTACTTGACCTGTAACTTTGAAGCAAGGCAAATTTTGGTTTCAGTATCCAATTATTGTCTTTGAGCCTCAGATTTAGGCCAAAGAATCATTATAGTGATTATGTGAGTAAATGTATGTAAAGCTCATAACTGGGGTGCCTGGTGGATTGAAAATACTCAAATGTTTGTTCTTTCCGACCCCTTCCATCATATGAATAAAAACCTGTAAAATAACAAAACAGTGTCTTTCATAAAATGTATGCTTGCTGAATGTCTGAGACTTGTTGCACATCCCTTAATTTTAAAACTAGAAAGCTGGATGAATGTTGAGATGATAAAGTATCTTCATCCCTGTCCTTTCTCACCACCAACTGTCCTTCACAATTTGTTCTGAAGTGTCACGTCACCACCATTAGCATGCCATTTGGAGACCATTATAGCTCAGGCATCCAACTCTACAGCAATGATTTGAAGGTGGAGAAAAAATTACTGAAATATATATATTTTTAAAAACTGAACGAATCCATTTCATTTTATTCCTGTGGTCCATTCTAGCTTGATGAATTGCCAATGAACGGTTACTATTTTGTTTTTGTTTTTACGGTGCAGAAACTGCAGGTTTAAATAAAAGGGTTGTGGGCAAGTAACTGAGTTCACTACTATTATGACCTAGAAATCTTTTAAGTGTTTGAGAGGTTATCTTTATGCCAGCACTAAAAAGAACACCTGCCAGTATCCATTATTTGCACTTGAAACTCAAGTCAACCGTTTCTTTGAAAAGAAGTGTGGTATCTGCCTCAAAATCAATCCCAAGAAAAGTCCAATTCAACTCAACATAGAAAAAGCTCTTTCTAATACCCACCCTCTCGCTCACATCACAGATGGCGATCGAGCCTGAAGGTTTAACCGCCAGACACTAAAGCCGCTCCACTCTCAGGGTTGGGGGCCTCGATGGATAATGTCCAGCTGGGGATAAGCATGCTGCCAAACGTCAGAAGTGGGGTGCACCCGGAAACCGGGGCGCAGTGTCCATCACTTCGCACCCACACTTGGGAAACAAACCACTTCCCGGGGCGGGGACACGGCGAGACCCTGCCCTGCAGTATCCAGTCTTGGGCTTGGGTATCTGTGCGTGACCTCGGAGGACCGGGAAGAACGGAGGTTGGGAGAGTTCCTCCGTTTTCAAGGGAAGTTGGCAAGGGCAAGTTCGGGTCGTGCACGGGGAAGGTTACTCACAGGAATGGCCCGGAGTCCTCCGCCCCCGTTCCCTCAGGGAAAAGCTTCTAAAGCGGCGGCAGCTTCAGAGTTGCAGCCGAGCGGCTGCCACCGCCTGGAACCGCCCGGGCGTGGCTGAGAAGGGCGGGCGACTTCACATCATTACTCCGCGACTTCAGTCCTATGGCGACACCCGGTCAATGGCAGTCCCCAAGCAGCTGGAGAGGAGCAAACTGGCCCCACTCTCCCAGCAGCCCCCACGGCACCGGCCTTCGTCTTGCTGGGAATTGTAGTTTCCCGTCGACCCTGCCCCCACATGCTCCAGGGTAGTAGTTTTGCCTTTTCCCCGCCCCCAAGCTCGAAGGCCACGCCCCCAACTCTGTAGCCCTGAGGCGAGAGGCGGGGCCGCGACCCCAAGTCGGGGTGGGGCGAATCCAGTCTGGACTGATCTCCGGGGACTGGGGCAGAGTTCCTGGCTCACAGCCCCGGTCCGGGTCGCGCCGGCCTCCTGCGCCCCGCGGCCCGCGCTGGGAGCGGGCCTTGAGCGCCTTCCTCGCCCCTCAGCGGACCCGGCTTTCACGCCTGCCCAGGCCCCGCACCGCTGGCCGCCTGAGGAAGAGTCACTGGCTGTGATCGCCTCCAAGGTAATGAGGGGAGGCCAGCCCGGGTGGGGATAGTGTAGGGGCCAGTCCGGGACGGGAAGGAGGACGGCTGGGTCCGCGCACGACACAGGAATCCCCAGGCTAACTCGCCGCTGAGTCGGGAGCGCGGCCCCTGCCTCCAGCACAGTCCTGGCTCGGCCCGGATCCCCTGGCGACGCGGTGGCGAAGGCACCTGCGGCTCCCGTGGGCGGTGCCCGCTGCTGTTGGGGGCGCCAGGTGCGTGGGGTCCGAGCTGGCCGCAACACTGCCTCCCCCAGTCTCTCACCTTTGGCCGCGCTCACGAGCCTGGCAGAGTTTCCAGGCTGAAGATACCTCTGACCCCGGCTCCATGTGCCACCTTCTGCGAGTGCTCTCTACAAAGCCCGGCCCTCTTCCCTTCCCCGAAAAAGCAGGACTAGGAAGGGACTTTTTACAAAAGTAAATGTCTAAGCTGCGTTTTATCCTCAGTATTTAAGTTTAGAATTGCGTTTTCCCCTCGTGGGTTTGTCGTGTCAGGTACCCTTTTCCTCTAATCTTGATCAGGAGTTGTGACACAGTGCCTACCTAGCACAGAGCACACAGTAGGCGTTCAGTGTACGTTTTTTGAAAGCGTGAGTCACGATGCTAAGTTTGGAAAATTCTAGTAAATTGTGCGTCGCTATAGTTTTTAAGGTGTTATGGGTTCCCAAGATGACTTTGAAAATTACAGTAATTTTAAAGCTTAGCAAAGAGAGTTGTGTTTTTTTCTTTGCATTTACTATAACAGTGGACTGTTGGATGCTAAAATTTACTCAAAACCCGAGTTCTGTAAAAAAGACTCAGCTACTGAAAGTGTCAGCCTTTCAGTTTAAAACCTTTGGACTACAGTTTTATTATAGAACAAATTTAAATAATTAATAAAGCTTTATCCTACTGGTTTTTGGATACCAGTGCAAGGGACCACATTGATGTACTTGTGAGTACATTTAGGAAATTAGGTTTCTGTAATATGAATTTTTAGAAAGCATTTATTTTTTTCACATTTTTAAATTGTTGTTCAAGTACAGTTGTTTCCATTTCCCCCATCACTCCCCACCACCACAGCCATCCCCACTTCCCACTCTTGATCCTACCCCCCTTTGATTTTGTCCCTGTGTCCTTTAAACATGTTCTTGAAAACCCTTCCCTCTTTTCCCCCCATTATCTCCTCTCCCTCCTCCTCCCCTCTGGTTACTGGCAGTTTTTTCTTAATTTCAATGTCTCTAGTTATATTTTGCTTGCTTGTTTGTTTTGTTTGTTGATTAGGTTCCTGTTAAAGGTGAGATTATATGGTATTTGTCTTTCACGACCTGGCTTATTTCACTTAGCACAATGCTCTCCAGTTCCATCCATGCTGTGGCAAAGGGTAGGAGTTCCTGCTTTCTTTCTAAAGCAGGGCACTCCATTGTGTAAATGTACCATAGTTTTTTTGATCCACTCATTTATTGATGGTCACTTAGGCTGCTTCCAGCACTTGGCTGTTGTAAATTGTGCTGCTATGAGCATTGGGGTGCACAGGTTCTTTTGAATTGGTGTTTTGGAGTTCTTAGGGTATAGTCCCAGCAGTGGAATTTCTGGGTCAAAAGGCAGTTCCATTTTTAGTTTTCTGAGGAAATGCCATCCTGTTTTTCACAGTGGCTGCACTAGTCTGCATTCCCCCCAATAATGCACTAGGGTTCCCTTTTCTCCACCACCTTGCTGGCATTTGTTTGTTGCTTTGTTTATGATGGCCATTTTGACTGGTGTGAAGTGGTATCTCATTTTGGTTTTAATTTGCATCTCTCTGATGGCTAGTGATGCTCAGCATCCTTTCATATGTCTCTGGACCCTCTGTATGCCCTCCTGGAGAAGTCTGTTCAAGTCCTTTGCCCATTTTTTAATTGAGTTGTTTGTCTTCCTAGAGTGGAGTCATGTGAGTTCTTTATATATTTGTGAGAGCAAACCCTTGCCTTAGGTATCGCTGTCATTAAAAAGCATTTATATTCATACCTAGTGAAAGAGCATGTACAGAAAAATATGACAGCACATCACCCCCTCCACCACACACACATACACACACCTCCCTGCCAGTCACTAGGTGCAGCTGCTGCCTTGACCTCAAAATGTCTTGTAAAATTCTCTCAATAGACTGGCATATTTAAAGCAAAAACCTCTAGGATTAAACTACCCGTGGAGACAACCCCTTTAGTACTAACAATTCTCATAGATTGTTTACAGTTCTTCTCAGTTTTCCTGAAAAGTAAGTAAGGTAGTAAAGCTTAAAGTTTTTGTTGTTACTGTTAAGAAAGAACCTAGTGATATTAAGTGGAAAAAGGAGGAAACAAAATCTTATAACCAGAAAATTCAGTTCATCCTGACATCTCATGTCTTCCTGCTTGTGGAAAGGTAAGTTACAAGTTGAAGTGGTCAGGGCTTTATCTGCCCTATCACCAGTGCGTGTCCCCAATGCCCAGGACAGTGCCCAACCCATAGTAGCCATTTATTAAACAATTGTGGAATGAATACTTGGCTGTTTCACGTAACAGTATAATGACTTTCTATGTATATGTGGTTTCTTCATTTATTTGCATATTTACTTAGAATAGATTACTAGAAGTGAGAATTTTACTGGGTCAGAACATGTGAATATTTTCATGGTATCAAAATAATGCCAACTAGCTATCCAAATGAGCTGTACCATTTTGTGCTGGTATATCTTGAGTGTGCCTTTCAGAGCACCCTCTCAAGCTCTTATATTGATACAGTGTTGGGTAGTTATGAGTATTTTCAGAAGTATTTCATTTGATCTCAGTTACCCTGGAAGATGGGCATTCCTCCTTCTGTAACATAGCAACTTCCAGCACCTGAAATTGTTACAGTGAATGACAGATGACAAAGTAATCATACACTTTCAGGTTCTTCTTCCTCCCTGCATCTTTGGTTTGTAGTGAACATCCTGAATAAATTCACATCTTTCTTTAGCAATAAAATATGAAAGAATAGATATTTATTAGGTATAAGGAAACAACCAGGCACTAGCAAATTTAGAATATTACTACCCTTTCTATTAGGAAAGATCTGGAAACTTGGTGATGTTTCTGTAGCTTCTTGAATCTGAAAAAGTCACTCTTTTAAATCTCTGAATCTGCCGCAGAATCTTCATAAACTATTGAGCTTAATACTCTATTAGTGAAAATTGACAGGACTAATTTGCATAATAATCTGCATATTTTCATATCTGTCAGTAAATTCCAAGAATAGAATTGAGAATTAAAAATAAGATAAAAATATTCAACCTACGAAAAATGTTATTATCATATAAAAACTGAAAAAAAATTTTTTAATGTGTGGCAACAAGAAAGTATTATTCATTCTTAGTCTTTTACTAATCCTGGTTCTTCCAAATTTGCTAGTCAGGGAACCCAAATGATGTAAAAGTTAATTAATCTGATCAGGAAATTTTGGAAGCTTCTTATAAGTGGACTTAAAAGTGGATTTCTTGGGGCATGATTTATATCAAAAGTGGGTCCAACATTGTATTTCCATATTATTTTCACATTTGCTTAGGTATCTTTTAAAAAGTACAGAAAAAATAGGGAAGGAGAGATGTAGGTATATTGAGGCTTTGAAAATATCCAGAACCTACCTTTAATTTTCCTCTGCCTTTCTGTTGTGATGTCAGATCCCAAATATTGTTCAGTAAACAAAAATACTCTTCAGAGACACTTTCCAGTAATGTTTCCATCTAGTCTTTGTGTCAAAGAACAGCTGCCTAAATATTGTGTGGGTTTATGGCAATTAGTTCTTTAAGAAACTTTTATATAAATCTAAACTATTTTGCTTTTGTTTTTTATAGTAGGATATTTCTACATCTTGAAGATAAAGCAAAAATCTCTGCAACAGATGGATTTTTGTCACTTTCTGTGAACTAAAGCGATTCAATGTCTCTTCTGGTAAGTTTTTGTTAATATGGATCTAATTTTGTGACATCAGAAATAGTTTGATGTTATTGCAGAATCATAACAAAAGGCATATTCTGCTGAGATATTCTTTACTCTGAGATGTTATTTTGATTTGAATAACTTATTAAGAAATGAGTTAAATTCTCATTGACTTTCGTTTCTTCAAAAAAGAGTTTCTCCTATACTTTTCTAATATACTCATTATTCTGTTCCTTTGACCCATACCCTTTTCCTCATATACATGCTGTACTTGGAAATGACTCTCATCCAGTTAGCTATGATTTATTATTTAAATCTTTCAAAAGATCTTTTACAAATTGCCATCTGACTAAAGGAAAAAAAAATTTAAAGCCCCTTGACTCAACAAGACAAAAGAAACATTTGGATCAGTGTGTAATATGAGGTATAGATACCAACTTGTTTTCTGTTGATAGTAGATCCACGTCTAATGTCTTTAGATATTGGCACCTACTTTAGATTAAGTAGTTTTAGGACTTTCATCATGTCTTATATATTAAAGCAGTGATCTTTTAAAAAGTGATGGATACGTTTGTGTGAGGATTTGTAGTTTACAGAAAACTTTTATACATTATATCTCTTTCAGTCTTCAAAGTTGTGAGTGATTGGCAGGGCATGTGGTATAATCCTTATTTTGAGTTTGGCCCAAGATTGCAGAGAATTAGAGCTAAGGCTCAAACTCATATCTGCCAATCAACACCTTCATTTGCCAAGTCTAAGAGGCAACTAAGTAGTTAGGAGAAGATATTATTAGTTATATAGAAAATACAGAATGCATTTACTTTATGTTTAAAGTATAGGTTTTCTACTTTAAAGGAGGAGCTTTATATATCTGGAAAATACACTGAGATGAGATAGCTATCTCATTTTCCAAAGCAAGGATCAGCAAACTTGTTCTGTAAAGAGCCAGATAGTATTTGAGTGCCATATGGTCTCTCTTAAATTACTCTTCTGTTTTATTCAGTGTGAAAGCAACCATAGGTGATATGTAGATGAATATGTCTATGGGTCAGTTTAACCATAGTTGTCTGACCCTTGCTGTAAAGGGTTACTTAAGATGTAAAAGGGCATTTGATAAAGATCCTGCGATTCAGAGGCTTGTATGGTTACAAGGGCTTCCGAATTTTGGGGAAATTATATATATATTTATATTTATATGTTTATATAAATATATATATTTAATTGTTGTTCAAGTACAGTTTTCTGCCTTTTACCCTCATCCTAGCCCACCCCCCAGCCCTCCCCACCTCCCTCCCGTTTCCACCACTCCCTTGTTATTGTCCATGTGTCCTTTATACTTGTTCCTTCCTGCAAACCCTTTATTTTACATTTATTGATTTTAGAAAGTCAGAGAAACATCGATTTGTTGTTCCACTTATTTATGCATTCATTGATTGATTCTTGTGTGTGCCCTGACCAAGGATGTAACATCCAACCTTGGCATACCCAGATGAGCTCTAACCAACTGAGCTACCTGGCCAGGGCCAGGAAAAGGATATTTTAATCTATTCCATAATTAGGGATTTTGTGAAAAATAATACATATGATAATGTGTTATTTACAGTCATTTAATTTATTAATAATTTCACTTTGAATAATATTCTTTATGCAATGATGAAATATTTAGAATCCTTTGACTCAAAATATTCATGTTTTTTTCCTCAATGAGATATTTGTGCATCTGAGAATTGATATTTTTACTTATGAAGGACTCTTTCCCATTTAAGTTTTACTCTCTGTTTGATAGTTAAGAAATGATGTTTTTAAAGGAGCAACATAAGTAATACATTTTCCTTTTAGGGTCTCTATAGGGCTAACTGCTTTTCACTTGGCTGTTATGATAATGAAAAATAAGTTACATTAAAAAATATTTTGGATGGTTTATATCATTATACTGCCTAAGATATTCACGTGTGGATTTTTCACAAGCTATTATATTGAACAGCATTCAGTTGGTTCAGTGTGTATACAAAAATGTTTTTTAAGAGCAAAATATGACTATTTTGTGATTTTGTTTTGTAACCTGGGCAGCTTTCTTCCACTGTGAAAGTTTTATATAAAGATAATAAAATGTAAGTTTACTATGGCAGTTTATAAAATGGTTTCCATATTTCTATGAACTGAAAACATGGATCACGATTCTTATTTTGGAAATAAATTTGGGTCAGTTTAAGTTTTAAAAAATATGCCCAATATGTCTTAAATTAAGTTCTTTTCCATCTAAAGCAGTGATGGGCATTTGTTAGAAAGAAGGTTTCTTTTTACATGCTTAAATGTATTTTGATAGCTGTGTCAGAGGGGTACCTCCCCCAAGATCCCTTCAGAGTTTGGTGATCTGCTAGGAGGACTTGCAAAGCTTAGCATATAGGCATACTCACAGCTAAGATTTATTACAGCAAAAGGATACAAAGGTACAAAGGGAAAATGTGCATGGAGTGAATTTCGGAGGAAACCAGGCACAAACTTCCAAGAAGCCTCTCTCAGTGGAGTCACATAGGATGGGCTTTATTCCCACAGTGTTATGACAACACATGTGAAATATTGCTTACCAGGGAAGCCTACTAGAGACTCATTTTCAGGGTTTTTACTGGGGATTGGTCGTGTAGATACCTTCTGCTAGCAGGTAACTAATTCCAGACTCCCAGAAACAAAGCAGGCATTCAGAATAAATCATATTGTTTGCACAGTTTAGGCACTGTGAGCCATTCTTATCAGGGAATGGTGGGAACTTGCCTCAAATTTAAATTCCTAGATACTAACTAAGGGTCAGACTTGCAAGCCGGCCTTTTCTGATAGCAGTTTTAGGCCTGCTGTATTCACTCTTTTCTGCACAATGGAGTTACTTATTACTATGAAAACTTGAGAGCAAATGCTGCAAAAACATACATAAATATAAAATATAATATATAAATGACCTAACTGATAGTTATTTTCTATATTAGCAACAGTAATAAGTATCTTCCAAAATGGTATTGTCAAGTTTATTCACCATAGGCAAATCAATAGATTTGCAAAGGAAATGATTCTACAGCTATCTTGACATTGTTAGCTTCTGTTCTTCAAGGGCAAAATTTACTTAAAACAGTAAATTTTTATCAAATTTATATAAAATTATTGTGAGAAGATTGTTAGGTATGCCAACTGTAGGAATCTGACTTAAAATAATCCATAATTCGTTCTGGCTGGTGTAGTTTAGTGGATTGAGTGTGGGCCTGTGAACCAAAGGGTGGCCGGTTTGATTCCCAGTCAGGGCCACATGCCTGGGTTGCAGGCCATGGTTCCAGTAGGGGGCACATGAGAGGCAACCACACATTGATGTTTTTCTCCCTCTCTTTCTCCTTCCCTTCCCCTCTTTCTAAAAATAAATAAATAAAATCTTTTTTAAAAAATCCATAATTCGGGCTAAGTGAGAAAATGTTTAATTTGATTAGTGAGAAATTCTGGCATATTTTAAAAGAAAGGAACTTTGATTACTCATAAGTAACAGACTACAAAGTATTAATAAGTGGATTTATAAAGACCCATTTGATGTCAGTACTTTAATGTGCATATAAAAATGAATGTTCATGAGATGCTTGAAAATAATTTATTATGAAAATCTCTTTCACAGAATTTCTTTGTATTTTCCTTTTGACTTGTCCTGTCTTTCTAAGTAGTATAAGGTCAGCTGCACCCCACTAATTGATGATGTGATAAATTACATATAGGTGTCACATTTCTTTATTGGCATTATGTGATGATAGGACCATGGGTTAAAATGCAGGAAAATGTAAATCATGATCATGGAACTAAGTCTCTTAATTTGCTTTGAGTTGAAGTTAAAAATGTTTATCACCTTAAGAAACAAAAGTGGTTCCAGATATACTCAGTGTGTAGTTTAATGTGGATTAAAATGTTTCTTACACTTAAGGAAAAAAAGTCTGAGGATCAAAATAAAAATGATTATAATGGGTACAGCAGAATAATCTTTAGCTAAAAGTCAGGACAAAACTGCAGAGATGATGGAAGTGTTAAATATCAACACCATCTATAAAAATGAATCTCCATACCATGATCTATAAAAATGAATCATACCATGATCTCCAGATAGAGGACAAGGATCAGAGATAGTACCAAGTAGAATGATAACAGATGAAATTTGTCCTCTGCACATGGCAGCTGCTCCTCTGTCGTCTCCTATACTGAGTACCTCCATGGTATGAACCCTGGCTTCATTTCCCGGTCCCTGCCTGCTACCCTTTCCTTCTGCCCCTCATTCCCGTAACCAGACCTGTGTGTATCCACACATCAGTCCTACTTGTCTTGTGGCTGATTTTTCACTTATATAAGTCACTTTTGTATTTCCAGAATTGCTTCTGCACTTCACGAACACAAGTTGAATCACTCAGACCTGAAAAACAGTCTGAAACTGGTATCCATCAAAACTTGGTAAGAAAATGATTGAGTACAATTAATGTTCCTCTTTTGCCTTCTGTAATACCATTCACTCCCGGTTCTCCTCTGTCTCTTCTTCTTTACAGTGTCTTTTACTGTTTCTCCTTCCTCTACTCCTGCTTTTCTCCGGAGGTCTGTAATTGGCCTCTGCCCAAACCATCTCTCCTTGAGCTGTCTCACCTATTCCTGTGGCTTCAGTTGCTCAAATTTCAGATTATCGTGGAGCTGCCTCAGGTTTTCCTTCAGGTGAAGAGGGAACCCTGGCATGAAACAAAACTGATGATTTTTGCATTTTTTCCTACCACACTGGCTCTTTCTTGGGCACCAGAGGTATCTACTGAATACTTCAGATTAGGGTTTTCAAAGGCATTATTATGCAGTTTGAGTAAAACCTTAATCTTCTCTCAGACTTCACCAACACTTTGTGTTTCTTGCTTTGGCTAATGAAAACCCATCTACTAAGTCATCCTAAGTAGAAACTGGAATTATTCTCACACGACATCTTCCTCTGCTCCCACATGTAGTTATACACCAAGTCTTATAAATCTGTATCTGAAATACCCTTGAGTCTGTGCCTTCCTTCACCTGATCACCAGTGATACTCAGGTCTTATCATCTGTCACCTGGACTACTGCAGGTAGACTCGTTGCCTCTAGTTTCCTAGACACACATACCACCTCCTCTCACCACTCAGACCAGTATTCAGCATTGTTACCAATACAGGCTTGCTTGTATCACTTTCCAACTTTGAAGTTTACATTGGTTTCCAAAAGCCTATGGGTAAAGCCTAAACTTTTTTTTTTTCATGTAGGAAGTTTTTCATGTAGGAAGTTCCTACTAGACCAACACTTGTGAGGGGTGGAGGGGGCACAGTTGGTTATACCCAAGAAATCTGGAGAGATTTTAGCCATTCCCCTGAGCATGTCTAGAGCTGGTGTGGCTCTACCTGACTGTCGTAAAATTTCTCCTCATTCATAAAGAGTTGGCTCCGTTATTACATCTCTGAAGCCTTTCCTCTTATACCTTTTATTTCATTATGCTCCTACAGGTCTTATACAGCCTCATGGGTATAAAATGGCACTGACTGCAGTATCTCAAAGTGCTTGCCATATACACCAGAGGCATCCTGGCTGTTTTATTGTTGTCTCCCCATGGGCAGTGTCTGATGTAAATGATATTTAAAGAAACATACTTGGGAATAAATACTTCTCTTTCCTCTCCTTAATCCTGACTTTATACTGTAGTTGTCACTACAAAAGGAACCTGCCTTGCAAATGGCTTATTTCTTACAAAATAAGGTAATCCCATTTATCTTGTTTATACATTTATCCTGATTCTGTCTTCAGTTGTCTTCATTTTCGTTATTTCTCTTTTTACTCACTAATTCTCTAAAGCCTTCCAGGTATCTGCCCTTTTGTACAGTGGGATATAGTATCTAATCCTAGTTTTCATTCAGGTATTACCCTTCTGCCCTGACCAGTGTGGCTCAGTTGGTGGTTTCCCAGCAAACTGAAAGGTGGCCAGTTTGATTCCTAGTCAGGGCATATGCATGGTTTGCAGGCCAGGTCCCTACGTGTGGGCATGGGTGAGGTAACTGATTGGTGATTCTCTCACACGTCATTGTTTCTCTCCCCCCGCTTCTTCTCGCTCTAAAAGTAAATAAATAAACTTTAAAAAAAATTACTCTTCAGATTAAGATAGTGTTCAGAGAGTAGTATATGTTGCCAAGAAAGAAGCCTAGAACTTAGGAAACTTCCACATGCACTGCCTTTTTATATGTGCTATAAAATACATGTAACTTAAAATTTACCATTTTAAGCATTTTATGTGTACAGTTCAGTGCTATTAAATACATTCATAATGTGCAACCATCACCACTTCCATCTCATAACTCTTTCCATCTTTTAAAATGAAAACGCTCTACCCATTAAACAGTATGTCCCCATTACCTCTCCCTCCCGTTCCCCTGGCAACTCTGTATGTATGTTCTTGACAACTCTTAGTACCTAATATATAAGTGGAATCACACTGTATTTGTTTTTTTGTAAGTGAGTTATTTCGCTTAGCATAATGTTCTCAAGGTTCATTGGTGTTGTAGCATATTTCAGAATTTCCTTACTTTTTAAGGCTGAGTAATATTCCACCATATATATTTTGCTTATGCATTCATCCAAGGATGAACATGGGTTGCTTCCACACTGTAGTTATTGTGAATAATGCTGCTGTGAACATGGGTATAAAGATACCTCTTCAAGACTTTCATTTTTTGCTTTCTAATTCTCTCACTGGTGATCACATCAAAAAGAAAAGAGAGGTTAGTTTGGGATGATTTGTTCTTAGTAAACCTATGTTGTCCTCTTATTATTATCATGTTGTTTTCTTAAGTGTTCATAAATCATTTATCTAGAAATTTGATATCATACTTGACTGGGTAAATGCAGCAAGCTATCCCCTTTATAGTTTTCTCCCTTATTTGGAAAATTGGGTAAGCATTTTGACTATTTCCATTCTGGTTTCTTGCTTGAGTTCTACTATGTCTGCAGAATTAATATCCTGGATTTAGTTGTCTTTGGCCTGGAGGTTTGAACCTATTTGAAACAACCTGTTTTGGGCTTCAGCTAGTTTTTCACAATATATGTGCCTGTTCTAACTTCAAGAAGACTATTTCCTTAATGGAGAAGATGAAAGCAAAGTACCAATTGTCCGTCTTATTTCAACCCATCAACCTTATGCCATTTTTTTCAACCAGTGAACTGTAAGCCCAGGTCATTTTGTGCTGTAGCCTCTCTGCCTGATTTATAGGTTGTCACTTGAAACAGTTTTTAAATTATTATATGCTCTTCTTTCTGTCTCTTACATGTGTTCTTTAAATCTCAGTTTATTTGAAGACTACCTATTCTAAAGAAATTGGATTGATTTATTTTGATTTTTTCTTTTTTTTATTGGGATTATTTCCAATTGTATAGTAGAATTTCCTTTTATAATCTTTCATATTTCTTTAACAATATTCACCTTTATTCATCTTTAGCCATGAGCTTATAATTACATTTTTTTTTGCTCTCTTAAAACGTTAGGGAACGTGTAGCATTAAGGATATAAAAAGTAGTTCACACAATTCCTGGCATGTAGTAATATAATTTCTAACCCCCTTCTTCCTTCTCCTTGCCTTGGAGACAGTAATAAGATTCTAGCCACCTGCTGGTGTCTGTAAGGTTCCTAAGAGTCTTTTGGAGCATTGGTGTCCTTTGGGAGAACCTCGTGGCTGTCATATGACACCAGTGGCAGTGGTCTCCTCTTTCTCCTGTGTGCCCGTTTCATTATCACTGCGATCGGTGCAAAGCCAGGACTCTGGCTCTGGAGCACCCTGTGAGCCACACCATATTGCTTCATGGCCATTAACTCAGGAGGTCTGATTGTTTGTTTTTTTTCTTTCTGATCTCTCTTCTGATTCATTTCATCTTGTGAAAAACATCTTCGGCAATTTTAATGGACTAGGGCATGGACATTGTTCTGGGACTGCCAGTACGTCCACTAGCTGAGGATATGCCTGTCTGAGCAATGGATAGAACTTGTGATCACTTGAAGCAACAGCACAGGCACAGGACATTATGCACAGGTCCCCATGACTCTCCCTTTGATATATTTATTCATTACCTACCTTGAAGAATTAATAACCCTTCTTAACAACTCCTAAAAATGCTTACTGGAAATTATGATGGAGAGTATTCGTTGCTACCTGTGAATCTGTGTTTCCCACCTTCTCCTCCTTTGTAGGCTGATAGCTTTCTAACTGGCATCAATCATTAGCAATTATAAATTTTTTTTAGATCTTAAAATAGTGTTTTAAGTCACCTTTCTGTGTGTCCTTCTAATGAGCACTTGTGTGTCTGAAAATACAATATCTGTATTTTATAATGGGTCAGGGTACCAAATCGGGGGACCAGAAGGTGTATACCTATTTTGTTTTCATCTTTTCTACAACAACGCAGGTTGATGAGCCAACACGTTCCAGGTTGCCTCCATCCACTGGACTCAGTGAAGTGATCTGTTCCACCAATATTTCTCACTATGAACTCCAAGTGGAAATAGGTAATAATCATGGGTTTCACATAATCCTTCATTGTTAGAAAGGAAATTGATTACAAAAAGATGTTTTTAGTCATAGTCCTTTAACCATACTATGTTTTTTAAGCTTAAAAACTTACCTAAAATCCTTTGGTAGTAGAAATCTATCTCTGTTAAATTTGGATGGGTATTATTGACAACCTTAAACATGTGAAACATTTGCTCTGAATATTGAGAAACATCTGTTAAGCACTACAAACAGCTGCAAGGGATACAAAGCCATGTAAAACACCTGAGGAGTTAGCATTCTCTCTGGGAAGATGAACACACAAGATGGCTCCACTTTATTCACCAGAGGCTTCTATAGTAGAGGTGTGCTGAGTGTTATGGGAACAGAGAAGATGGAGCAAAAAGGAGCTGGATCCTGAAGAATTAGGAAGAGTTTGCTAAATGTTCTAGTCAGGGTGTTTGTTACAAACAACAGAAAACAATCCTGGCTAACAAGCACAAGAGAAAATTTTAAAACAATATTGCTAACTCACAGAATTATTGGCTGGAGAAATAAATGGCTTGGAAGAAGCCAAGAGAAGCTACATGACCAGAGCCATTGCCAGGACCATGGCATAGGAGCAGCCCAGGTCGTGTAGTATCTAGTAGGTACTTACAGCCTCCTGGGATCCTGCAGCAGCTCCGACTGCCCTGCTTCTTTATGTCACTCACTCCATACTCCGGCTGCACAAGCTTAGGTCATTGACCCTTCATGCCAGGGTCAAGGAGACAAAGAGAGAATAAGGATCTGATCTTTTCTAAAATAGCAGTAGTGGAAATGCCCTAGTATTAGACAGGAGGTTCAGATGGTGTCACTTCAAAAAAGATAAAATATAATGATATGGCCAAAAAGTTCATTTGGTTTTTTCTGTAAGATTGCTCTAGTAGCTCTTAGTTGTCTTTAAGTTCATTTGAAACAATTTTGTTAGATTGTTTTGTGACAACTGTCATATCAGCATGCATTTGAAAAAACATCAAAATTGGTGAATTGTGTAGCCATTTTAATATTGAAGGTGGAAGAAAATATGCAACATTTTTGGCATATTATGCTTTATTATTTCCAGAAAGGTAGAAATACAACTGAAATACAAAAATAGCTTTGTGCAGTGTATGGAGAAGGTTCTGTGACTGATGTAATGTGTCAGAGGTGGTTTGCAAAGTTTTTGCTGGAGATTTCTTGCCGGACAATGCTCTTCGGTCGGGTAGGCCAGCTGAGGTTGACAGTCATCAAATCAAGACATTAATTGAGAATAATCAGTGTTATACTACACAGGAGATAGCTGACATACTCAAAACATCCAAATCAATAAAGTTATTGGTGAAAATAAAAATGTGTCTTTTATTTTATGGAAAAAACTAAACAGACTTTTTGACCAACCCAATATTTACTCCAATAGATAACTGAGGAAGGATGGTTAGGAAGAGACTACCACGTAGCTGCCTAGAAGAGGGAACAAGAGGAGAGTAGGCAGTGGTAGGAGATAAATCCGAAAGGTTTGGAACACATTGTGAAAGGCTTCACATGGTGTATTTAGAAGTTTAGACTCTCTGTGTCAGCCCCCATGATCTATCCATTTTATTACTCAAAGGATTTAAGGCAGAAATTTGGGACTTTTCCTCTCTGTGCTAGAAAGACATTGTGGAAGAGTGATGATGGTAATAATAGCATCCAAATAAGGCATTGTATTGAACATTTTATTTTACCCTTTTCTTCATTTTACCCTTTTTTTGCTCCCATTTTGCAGGTAAGAATACTGAGACTCCAAGAATTGAAAGCAAACCTTTCTGTGACATAGGATCTAAGCTCTCAGCTGCTGCACTGTAGTATCTTCCTACTGATAAAATGCTGAATTTAGGACAACTGCTAGCAGTTCTAGGCATCATTCTAGAAGATGTAGTAGATTAGTCATCACCTGACTCTTTATAAAAATTACAATTCCTATATCCCATTACAGGCTTATTGAATCAAAATTTCTGGTGAATGGAAGCCAGGCATATGCTTTTGAAGTAGTTCCTCAGTAATGTTGACACATGCTTGGTTGGGAATGCAGGGCATAGTGAGAAAGTCACTGCATCTCTCCAGGGAAGAGGATGGGACTTGAACTAAGGCAATGATGCTGACACTATGGAGGAAGGGATGACTTTGAGATTAATGTCTTTTTAAAGATAAAAGTGGCAGAATCTGCTGACTAGACAATGTTTATTATGGGGGAACTAATGTTTATTAAGTGCCTATTAACAGTGTTTTTTTGAAAAACTGAAGTTTTTTATTTTGATGAAGTCCAAATTACCAGTTTTTTTCTTCTCTGGCTGCTAACACAAGTTTTACATCTGATTATAGGAAGAGGATTTGACAACTTGACTTCTGTCCATCTTGCACGGCACACTCCTACAGGTACACTGGTGACTATAAAGATTACAAATCTGGAAAACTGCACTGAAGAGCGCCTGAAAGCTTTACAGGTAACAATACGAAAAAAATAATACATTTAGCATATTGTCTATCTGAGGAGTTAACATCTGCAAAAACTTTTCTTCCAAATTAACCATTCTGTTAGAGAAAAGCAGATTCCTATTTTCTAGTAAACATGCAGTTACAGAGTTGGAAAAAAACAATAGAAAGCCAGTTCCTGAAAGAACAAATATATTCAAACTTTGGTAACTACTATACATTCCTTCAAATGAATATCATATTTGAAATGCTGGTCCGAAGATGTACAGGATCCCCAGTCAGTCCAATCACATGTCATACAGAGAAAGGGAGAGACAGAAGCAGTTTCCTTTCCATTCAGTTAAGTAAAATTCACTTCTAACTTGATACATTTTAACAGAATTGCCTTTCAGGAATGTTATAATACTATTTTCATTGTCACTAATCATTTTTGATATAAAGAGGGAAAGGATTTTATTTTGATACAGTAAAAAATGTTTACGGGAGACCCGCAGGCTGCGGAAGGAGTGAGGAGTGGGTCGGTGGGCCCTCGGTCCCTCTGTTATGGTAAAAAACCACCTCACAGTCCCCTAGTATTCCCCAGACCAGCTGGGACCATGTTGGTGCTCACATGTCCCTGAAACAAGAGCCTCCATCCCAAGGAAAAATATGAGAGTTGAGTTATTCAAGTGAACAAGAATTGCAATCAAGGAGCCTCATCCACCTGAACCCAATTTTGATGAGTTCCTGGACTTCAAGTCAGTTCCATGAAAGATCCATGCCTCGTGGTGTACCAGGAGGTGAAGTCTAATTCCCCTCTTCTTCGTTATGAGCTGGACTTGGTGTCATGTGGCAGGAGTGACAGCCTGGGCCTTCTAAGGCCAAGTCATAAAAAGCTTTACAACTTTCACCCAGATTTCTTGGGATTCCTACTCTTTGAACCTTGCAGCCATCCTGTGAGAAGTTGGGATTTCCACATGGAGAGGCCACATGGAGAGAGAACAGTGCTGGCCAGACCCCAGCCATTTCAACCATGCCAGCCCAGACATCGCCCATGTGAGCGAAGGAGCCATCTTGGACATTCCAGTCCCAGCAGACACTATGTGGAGGAGAATCAAAACTCCAGGCATACTACCTCACGCAAGCTGTCCCTGCTGCCATCTCCATCCATTCGAGCCAACCCAGCTAAGGCCGCACACATTGGGAAACAAAGACAAACCATCGGTTCTGGGCCCTGTCCAAACTTCCCACCTACTGAATCATGAGCATAATAAAATGGTTCTTGGAATAGTGGTTTTCTCTGTGATGTCATGTTAGCAATGACTTTTATCTTCATATATGTATGTATTTTTAAATGTTTCTATACTAAGAATGTAACATCACTGAGTGTGACCTGTAGAATCAAACTAAGGTCAAATCCCACTTTCACTTTTATTAATTATGAGCTCTTGGACAAGTTTTTTCACTTATTTCCAAGTGTCCTCTTTTGTAACATGGTAATCATACTATCACGCTGTGTAGGGGTTGTAAGGTTTGAAGAGATTACAGCACTAAGAACACATGGTTGGTACTAGGAAGTTTTAACTGAGTACTGGCTGCCACTGCTGCTATTACCTTCATCGTAAGGAGAGAAAGATTTTCAGATGTCTTCTCTCTTGTGTGTCTCTCCTAGAAAGCTGTGATTCTGTCCCACTTTTTCCGGCACCCCAATATTACAACTTATTGGACTGTTTTCACTGTTGGCAGCTGGCTTTGGGCTATTTCTCCATTTATGGCCTATGGTAAGAAAGCTCATTCTAGGTAAAACAACTCATACTTTTGCCTGGATTCTTTAATAATAAGGATGAATGGGATCTTAGATCTATGACTAACCCAATTCCAAATTTCATGATATATTTCTGTTTCGGAGTCGTGCTGAATTTTAGTCTTCAGAAAAAGTAGAATAGGTCTGATGATCAGCGAACCACCACTGCTTCTCCAAGAAGCCCAGGCCTTTGACCAGCTGTCTCTTCCCTTCAGTTTCCTTCCTCTTTCTCTCAGTGGAGAGCTTTGTTACTCTTCGGGGACATCATCCCCATCCCTGTGTCTCTACACGGTCAACTTTTTCACTGTATTAGAAACATCTGTGTATGTACCTGGCTCCTTCACTGGATTTGAGCTTTTTGAAGGCAGGATTACATATGCATTTATCATATGGGGTACCTGGGTGCTCAAACAGTACCTAGCACAAAGTAGTGTTCATTAAGTGTGTTGAATAAGTAATTGAATGTTCTAGAACTTTGATTTTTATGACAGCTTTTGTGAATTGTGTGTGGATTTAAAAGTATTTACACACATGTCTATACACACAGCATCTTTTTAGTAATATTGAAATTGTTAATTTTCTTTTCTGATCTCTAGAGTATCATTAAAAAAGTCTTTTTAAATATTCTTGAAGGAAAATGACCCTAGCATAGGAAAATGGTTAGACTCTAAATGTAACAAAGGTGTGTGTGTGTGTGTGTGTGTGTGTGTGTGTTTATGGTTAAAAAAACATTTAAAACATAGCTAGAAGCAAAATCACTTTCAGTGTTCATTTAAAGATTTCAGGGGTCTCTTTCAGGTTCAGCAAGTCAACTCTTGAGGACTTACTTTCCTGAAGGAATGAGTGAAACTTTAATAAGAAATATTCTCTTTGGAGCTGTGAGAGGGTTGAACTATCTACACCAAAATGGCTGTATTCACAGGTATTTACTTATTTGTGTTTTGCAAAATGAAAGAGTTTTAGTGGAAGACATTTTTTAGGGAGCTTTTAGGAAGGAAGGAGCAGTCGAGTGTCAGGAGGAGGAATAGGAAACTTGTAAATAAAAATTGAGGAAGGGGCCAGTGGCTACTGTTGATGTTCACATTCTCGTTCATTCGCCCAGTGTTCAGACCACCTTCTCTGTGCCAGGTGCTGCGCTCTGTGCTGGCGTGGAGCACCTACCCTCACACAGCCCATGTCTCAGTCTAATGAGGGATGTAAGCTGTAGGGAATGAGACCCTAGTTAGCTTTTCCCCCCTTAAGCAAATAGCTCCTTTATCTGTTTTTCATCCTTAAGTCATAGTTATATCATGTACAAATTGTAACTAAACCTTTCTTTGATTTCTTAAATATTTTGCAGCATCTTGAAATTTTCATACTAAATATCAATTCTTGTTATCAAACTGTAGATGCAAAATTGGCTGAATATTAAAAAACAGTGTTGTTCTTTGGAGCTTTGTTGTCCTTTTTAATTAAGTTACTGTTAAATTAGCTTGTTTTATTGTTTTTTTCTATTTCCTTAAAGCTTTTATTCTTACTATTTGGTGTTTTTAGCAGCATTCTACATAACTAAGAATTTATAACAGACTGTATTGTAATTACTCAAGATTTTATTATACTTTACCAGACTATTGGTCATCCTACTCTATTAGTCTGTTAGAAACTCTGTGTTTCCAAGTCCAGTGATTTGGAAAAAAACAAGGCTCTTTTATAATTTATTTGACAAAGGAAGTATTTATATGAGACATATCTTTATAAATAGTGTTAATACCATGAAAGGCAACCTTTTTTGGATCATACTGCATTTAATTTTATACTTTAAATATTGAGGATTTTTTTAGATTTCTTTGGTGTTTTGCAATAGCATCCTAAAAGAGTGAAATTAATCATTTGATTCCATTCCAAGTTTGAAGAAAATATTACCACTTCCAAACATGTAGCTGTCAGTTATATATTTCCTTGTTGTGATGCTACATTAAACAGCTGGAAGGATTCCTTAATTTCCTGGACATTTCCTAAACATACAGAGCAGTGTGCTGCTATTTTATAAAGAGTATTTAATTTCCAAGAGGATACAAGGATTTGTTCTGACCAGATTTTTATTCTTTCTTCATTGGCCAATTTCCTAGCATTTAGGATTGTTTCTTTTTGTTCTAGGAGTTTTAAAGCCAGCCATATCCTCATTTCTGGTGATGGCCTAGTGACCCTTTCTGGCCTGTCCCATCTGCATAGTTTGGTTAAGCACGGACAGAGGCATAGGGCTGTGTATGATTTCCCACAGTTCAGCACATCAGTGCAGCCGTGGCTGAGTCCAGAACTGCTGAGACAGGTCAGGTGTGGCCGTTGCATTGGGTTGTCTGTGCGTCTCGAGTGTCTTATAAGCTTAACTATAAAGGACAATTGTGAATTTATATTTGGATTGGTGAATGGACTGCTACTGCAAGACGTTTTTCTTTTTTTGTCAAAATTATTATCTTAGGAATTTTAAAATGTGTGCCATATATTAGGTATAGCTTGATTTCTTGTTTTCCCACAATTGTTAACCATCCTTTATCAAAAAAGCACAAGTATGTAACTTTTAAAGTTGTTTACACTAAAGAACTCCCAATTAATTATTTACAGGATTTACATGGATATAATGTAAAGTCAGATATTTACAGTGTTGGGATTACAGCATGTGAATTGGCCAGTGGGCAGGTACCTTTCCAGGACATGCATAGGACTCAGGTAAATGCTACTAAAATCCGTGAACTACCTTCCTTCATATGATCCCTTATATTCTAGATAATATCTGTTGAAATCATTGGTGTAAGACTCTTAGGACCTTTATTGTTGATGTTTTACTATTTTGCCTGAAAAAGATTGAAGGAAAGTTTTCTTTTAGATGCTGTTACAGAAACTGAAAGGTCCTCCTTATAGCCCATTGGATATCAGTATTTTCCCTCAGTCAGAATCCAGAATGAAGAATTCCCGATCAGGTGTAGACTCCGGGATTGGAGAAAGTGTGCTTGTCTCCAGTGGAACTCACACAGTAAATAGTGACAGATTGCAAACACCATCCTCAAAAACTTTTTCACCTGCCTTCTTTAGCTTGATACAGCAGTGTTTGCAACAAGATCCTGAGAAAAGGTAATATTGTTTACTTCTTCTAATTAACATAAAACATATTTGTTTCATATTTTATACAAGCTTTATGATAGTCCCTTCCCACCAAATTCAAATTTTTAATCATTCTTTTGATCAAAAAATTATAGTCTATTCCAGACAGTATCAATGCTAAAAACAGGTAGAGGCAGTGAGCAAATGGGAAGAATACAGGATTCAAAGTCAGAAAACTTGGCTCCAGTCTTAGCTGTTTTATTTCCTAACCAAATCCTTGTAAAAATCAGATAGTCTTTCTGAACATTAATTACTGCATTTATATTAAGACATTTTAGAAATTTCTAATAGTATAAAGATGTTGGTTGCTGCTATTATAATAATATAAATTATTATCATAGGTAACTATACATTATCATTAGTATTTTGGAAATAAGATGTATGTCTTATCTTTTTTTAGCCCCTTAATGCCTAGCATAAGCTCCTTATTATTGGTAAGTGCTCAGTAAATGTTGAATTATGGACTAATTGAAGGGTATCTTTAGAAGTAATTCTTCTTATTAATCAAGGATGAAGCTAAGAATTAGGCTTCCTGACATATATTAGTTTTCCTTTAATTTTTAGTGTTGGATTTTATAGCTCTCAACCTAATTTCTAATATATTTTTACATCTAAAAATCTACATTCTAATATGAGGTTCCATTTTTTTATAATTTAAAAAAATTTTCAGGCCATCAGCAAGCAGTTTATTGTCTCATATTTTCTTCAAACAGGTAAGCTGATCTTTTTTCTGTTGTCTAGAATGATGTTTTTAAATACTATTATAAAGTCACTTTATTTTGTTGGCTTAATGGGACAGTTTGGTTACCAAGGTCTAATAACTTTCTTACAAAATAAAGCTAAAATCAAGAAAACATTTTTGGTAGTTCAGTTACAGACTTGTTAAAATACATTCATTCTACAAAATGAATAAAAACAAATGGAATATTATCATACATTACTATTTCCTCAGTTTATATTTTGATTAATTTAAAGATATATTTTTCTTTCTATATTATCTAGAAATGACTTAAAGACAAAATAATTCTGATAAAAATCGGCATATTGGCTATCACTTCTTCCTTTTTTCAGATGGCCAGAATCAATGGCATTTTTAGTGAAAATACCTGAAAACAATTTTAAACACTTTTAATGATGTCTTTGGAAGTTATTTATTGCTAACAAAACTAATGTATTGAACTTACGTGCCAACAGACTTATTTTGAGTTTCTTTAACAGATGAAAGAAGAGAGCCAGGATTCCCTGCTTTCACTGTTGCCTCCTGCTTCTTATGAGCCACCAATCACACTGCCTCTAGCATCAGCTTGGACTAAGCCAGACCGTGATTTTCATGATGAAAAAGACTCAAACTGGGAATTCTAGGGCTGCCAAATCCTTTTATGTCCTATATACTTGACACTTTCTCCCTGCTGCTTTGCTTCCGTATTACTAGGTACAAATGCTAGAATTATACTTGAAAATACAGTTGGTGCACTGGAGAGCCTGTTGTTTAAAACCACTCTATTCAAAGGAGCACGAGTCTGTGGTCCCTTCAGTTAGCTCAGAGTGCTGTTACAACTCTAGCAAAACTTTAGAATTATGAATCCAATCACATTTAGTGTCACCTATTCTCAAATTTTCCCCCCAAAGCTGTGACTAACTCTTTTTTTTAAAAAACTCTCAATATAGTTTTTGAGCCAGTTAATTCTTTCAGCATTTTGCTGCCCTCAGGGGAATGAGCCCTCAAAGGACAGTGCTTCCAAGTACATTTGTTTTCTTACTTCCAGATTCTCTAGCCTTTTTGATCAGCTATTGTTAGACCAACAGGCTAGTTTATCCTGGCATCAAACTCTTTTCTGGTAACAGGGAGAATGTTTTACTTTCCCATTTTCTTCTGTTAATATGGTAATATCAAACTGAGCCTCACTCACATTAAATGATTCACTTGAAATATATAGACAAGTTGTGGTTTTTTTTAGGGGGCTAAAGTAACACTTTTCTACTTATGTAAATTATAGATCCTAAATTCATGCACCCCGTGGGAGCTTAATAAAGATTTATTGAATTGAGTTTATGCTTTTATTTATTTTCTTTGTATGGTTGATAAACCTAAACACAGATTCTAATTTGTTTTGCCAAGGAAAACCAGTTTGCAAACAAATAGATTTATTTACATAATCTGTGAATTAGGGACAACCTAGTATTTGATTCAATGGAGGGAGATGATGTTCTGGTCCTTTATCTGGTTATTCTTGCTCCTGTAGATGATGCAACATAATGACATAGAGATCTTAATGTAGGGTATTACCATAATAGCAAAAGAGATACGAGCACGTGGTTTGAAGTATGGTAAATTGGGACCTATCTCTGGCTTTTAATCTGTACGCTCTTATTTAACATTCCATTAAAATGATTTTTAAATGATTGTCTTAAGACTAAAAAATTAAAACCAATTAGTGTGTACATTAATAGACAATTAGAAACACAAACCTTTTCATATTTATTGGCCAGCCCCCATCAAGAATGTTTAGGTCCCTCCACCCAGCAAGCCACAAAGACCTGCCCAGGTGGAGGAGGGAAAGGAGGTGAGTACCAGCAGTGGCTCCCAGGCCACATGTAGTGTTAGGGGCTACAGTATTCCTCTAACCTTCTAAATTTCCCTTCAGTAAGAGAGGCTCACAGGAACCATCGAGGAGGTTCTGAATCAGGGTGGAGCACTGATATGTGTAATGCAAAAGATGGACTATGGAGACTGAAACAGTGCCTCTTAGACCTGTGAGTGTATTACTGTTCTCCAGAGAAACTAGCAGTAGGAGATGTATTACAGGGAACTGTCTCACACGATTAGGGATGCTAACAAGTCCCAAGATCTGCAAGGTGACTGAGAAAGCTGGAGAGACCTAGCAGAGCCAGTAGTGTTCCAGACTGAAGACCCAGGGAGAGCTGATGTTTTCAGTTTTGAGTCCAAAGGCAGAAAAAAGCTGATGCCCCCTGTTTAAGGCCCTCAGACAGGAGTTCTCTTCCTCAGGGGAGGGTCAGTGTTTTTGTTCTCTTCAGGCCTTGAGCTGAAGAGGCCCACCCACATCAAAGAGGGCAATCTACTTTATTTAGTCAACAGACTTAGATGTTAATTTCACCCAATAGGGTTCACAGAAACACCCAGAATAATGCTTCACCAAAATCGGCACCCTGCAGCCCCATCAAATGGACACATGAGATGGACCATCAGAGTACCTACTGTATTGAACAATACTTCACTGATAGCCTCACCCTAAGAATATCTTACATTTTGTACCACAGGTTCCTTGCTTGCTGTATTAGCTCTTTATTGTGTTGTAACAGTCTACCACAAATGCAGTGGATTAAAACCCATTTATTTTTTGCAGTTCTAGAGGTAAGAAGCTTCAAATGGGTTGGCAGGCCTATGTTCCTTCTGGAGGCTTGAGAATCTGCTGCCTTTTCCAGCTTCCAGAGGCTGCCTGCCTCCCTTTGCTTCCTGGACTAGCATTAGTCCAACTTCTGTTTCAGCAATCACATCTTTTCTGATGCCAACCCTCCTGCCTCTCCTAAGGATGCTTGAGATTATTCTGGGCCTACCCAGGTAATCCAGGACAATCTCATCTCAAGACCCTTAATTTAATCACGGGTGCAACGTCTCTTTTGCCATGTAAGTTACCGTACTCACAGGTTCCTGGAAGTAGGGTAGATTATTATTCTGCCCTCCACACCTGTCCAATCATCTCAGTGTTGGCTTTCTGAAGGACCCAAGCTAGCATAGTTGCCTTAGCTAAAATGCCTTCCTACATGAGCTTCCACAGTACTCTCCCAAAGAGTGCTTATACAACTCTACTTCTGTGTGTATGTCCCTAACAGACTGTGGACTCCTTGAAAATATTATCTTACTCACTAGAATATTCCTAGTGTTTAGCAAAATGTTTGGCATATTATGGACAGTTGGTAAATATTTAATGCATTCAGCATTTAATAAAGGTTATGAGATTATTTTTATTTTTTATTTTAAATAACTTGAAAATTTGAGATTCCATAGTAGGAAATTTTTAACTCTTTGTGTGCTATAGTATTACCACTAAGAGTTTAAAGTGAGGCAAAGGGATTTGAGATTTCTATCTAGTAAGTATTTCCTCCTTTACTGCAAGCCAGATCAATGGCTTTCCTTATTAATTCTGCTGGTCAATTGCCTGTTAGCTCTTAAATCCATTTCTCCACTCTTCCCTGCCTCTGCTTCACTGGGAACTGCAATACATTCCCCGCGCACCCTCTAGCTCTGGTTTCCAGGGAGGAAATAGTGGAAGATCAGAGGGCAAGGAAAGAAGGGTGAAACGTGCTATTTCTCACCCTTGCCCCACACTCTCCTGTTTCTTCTGATGTCTCTGGCAGTGACTGTATTCTTTGTCTTTTGACTTTAGGACTCTGGTGGCACCACTTGCTTCTGCTCTCTCTTCCATGTGAGAGGTAGTAGCACTTCCTGCTCGTGCTAATCTCCGGATTGACTCACCATCCCTTTCGGTGTCTTAGCCTTGATCACATCACTCATGAAACCAATTCCTTGTGTTCCTTCTATATGAAAATCCAGAGTTATGTTTTCCCTGTTACACTGTGACTTGTATAAGTACAACTTTGAGGATTACTAGAAAATCTCGGTCTCCAAAAAAAATGCTACCTTGATTATACCATTAAGTGAATGATCAAGAATTAGGTTTTCTACCATTCAATGTATCTAAATCCCATAGTTTTTATGATTTGTGGGGGGAAAATTGAGAGTGACAAAAATTCTTTCAATTGAAGTTTTTGCTTCTCAAGAATGAACCAACGTTCAACAAGATCCAAATACTGGACTTGATGGGAATGGAACCTATTCTCAGAAGTCTCTGAATTAAATCTTAGGTTGTTTAGCTAGATAACTTTATACAGTTACTGCAATTTCATGCAACTTCCTGAGTTTTGTGTTATTAAAGAGGCCCTTTTATAGTTTTCCAAGTAAGAAGTCACTACAGTGTAAGAGATGCTTCAGGGACTAGTATGAAATCTGTTCTTTGTTACCCTTACAGTGTAAAAAGTTGTAATATCTGATATTAATATTAACAAGTTCTATAAGTCTAGAGAATTGCATTCTGTTGAATCAAGAAATACAGGGTCCGGCACATATAACACTCCTTTTTATTACAAATTTTTTTATAAAATCATAAACATGTAATTCTGTAATATAACAATATCATACTCAAGCACATCATATGACAGGTGAATTTTTCAAATTAAAACTATAAATTATTACACCCATAGTGCCCTACCAACCACACTCAACAGGCGTTACTTTTGCCGGACCCTGTATAACTAAAGCTAAAGAGTAAAAGGCTAAACAACTGCAAATACAGAACCTGAAAACTCGGTAGGCAGAGGTAATTTGGAGCATAACAAAGATTTGAGAAAACAGAGAACTATGAATTGGAATGATATTGTTACACAGAGAAGAGAGGAAAACTAAAAATACAACTTTGCCAATAAATATGAACTGAATATGTATTTCTGGGTTTGTTCCTGAAGGAAACAAAAACACATTTACATCGAAAAGTGTTTCTTTTCATTTTAATTAAAACAAAATGGTTCTAACAAGGTGAAATTTGGTTGCTGACTTCTATCACACAAGAGGACAGATCTCCAAACCATTTTGTTAATTGGAGAAATGATATTCCAGCTGTTAGCCTCACATGTCATTCTGAACTCTGGTTGGATCAATCATGAATGAGCAAACATTTTTTTGGGCTGTGTTTTATGGATATCATAATCTGGGATTGTATCGTTTAAGTGAACTAAGCCTGCTGAAACCATTCGAGGACTTGTAACTTTTCCAGTGTAGTTTTCTCGTCGTTTGTTAACCTCTGGAGCAGTATATGGCCTTGCAGAGTATTTTAACCGATCATGGCTATCATCTGAGCTCTTTCCTAAAAGGCTTGCTCTTGATTTCAATTTTTCAAGATGCTGAAAAGAGGTCATAGGTGAATCCTCAAATCTATCCAAACAATCCTAAATATTAAAATAAAAGGTCAAGTTGGTGAGTTAGGCCTCTGATGAAGAGCAGGTTGACAGCTAGTGGGGGTGGGGATAAGAGGGTGGAGGGCAAAAAGGACCCATGGACATGGACAACATGTGGTGACTGCTGGGGGGAGGGGTTTACAAGGGGACTAAGTGGTAATGGAAGAATATAATAAAGATTACATTTGAAAAGTGTATTTTAAATGTATAAGGACCAAAGTATGTAATATTAACAGTTAAAGAGAAAAAAATGAAAGCTTCAAATGTTTTATAGGTAAATTCAGACCCTACACCCAATACCTCCCATTGGAAATTATAATACTATAGAAATCATGCTTTTGGAAAAAAAGTTATTGTTTCAAATGATCTGTTATTTCAAAAGGGAAAGAAGATATATAGCTTGAAACCAGGTAAATTTAGGGCAGCTGTCCTCCGGGGTCAGACTCCTAGGCAAAGCCAACAGCCTATCCTATAATCCTTTTCCTCCAAAATACATCTTCCCCAACCCCAGGAATAAATTATGGAATTCTTATATTTTACTATTTATATCATCCAAATGTTCATTCCTTAGAAGTTAATAAACATCTTTAATACACACACAGAGCCCAGCATCTAAGAATATGGTTATGTTTATATTAAAATAATAATTTCATGTATACTTTGAAAGTAAACAAATAAAATGAAATATTCAAGAAAATAACTAAAAGACATATACCAAAAAAATTTTTTTAAATGGTAGCTGTGTTAGGGTGGTGGGATTATGAGCTTTGTTTTTCTTTTCTCTTTAAATTTTTTATGATATGATTATATTTTACTAATATAATAATCTACAATTGGCCATAAAAAGACATGGAGCTATTAGTCATTCTCAAATTAGTTTCCTCTGCAGTTGAAGCAGCTTG